CGTTTTACGATCTTTACGGATCATAAAACGCTTGAATACATCTTTGAAGGGAAGTACAGAGATGGAAGGCGAGCTTGTTCACAAGCGCACGTCTTTCAAATTTAGTATATTCGGGGAACGAGCCCGTTTGTTTACCAAGAAAGATGCACCGTTTGATGAACATACCCAACACTTTCTTTGTGCGGTAGGATAATTGCCGGCGGCTATCACACTTGATGAGATCCTTAATGAAACCGTACGCGATTCGACGCTTACTGGAGTTATTGAAGCTGTGAAGTCGCAGTATTGGCCATCAAACCTTTTTCGATACCAGGCTTTCAGTAAAGAATTAGGATTGATTGATGGTGTCGTGGTAAATGAGGACAGGATTGTATTACTATTGAAGCTACGTCGTCGAGCGTTAGAGATTGCACACCGTGGACATCCCGGGATTGTAGCAATGCGTCGGAATTTACGATATTACGTATGGTGGCCATGCATCGATAGAGATGTCTGCAGTGCTGTGAAGGAATGTGTGGGATGTACCGCTGTTAGTAGCTTAGGCCCACCTGAACCCATGAGTCGCAAGACAATGCCAGAAAGGGCTTGGCAAGATATCGCCATTGACTTTCTGTCAGCCAAAGAGTTCGCTACGTTTTTAGTTGTAGTGGATTGTTACAGCTGGTATCTTCATGTAGTGGAAATGAGGAGCACGACTGCGTGCAAAAGAATGGAAGCGCTGGAGCGGATTTTCAAAGACCACACATATCCCGAGACGAATCGATCGGACAATGGTCCACCGTTGTCCAACGAAGAGTTTTCTCTCTTTTGTGTCAGCAGGAACATCAAGTTGGTGAAAACCACACCTTATTGGCCTCAGATGAATGGCTTGGTCGAACGGCAGAACCAAGGGATTTTGAAGGCGCTACGGAAAAGCTCTTAAAACAGATTAGAGGAAGAGTCTCGAAGAATACATACACATGTATGATACTGGGAAAACGACACGAAGGAAAAAATGCAAGGCAAACTTTACGCAGATCATCGTAGACATGCTAAAGAGTCTAATATAACAACCGGTGACATAGTGATGACAAAGAGTTATGAATCTGGCAAGCTCGAACCAACCTTCAAAATGAAGAAGTTTACTGTCCTTGAGCGAGCCGGTAACGATACAATCATTGTTAACGAAGGCGGAGTGAAATATCGGCGCCCAGTTGCCCACTTGAAAAAGTGGCCATCTACAGCATCATCTTCCACCACCTCTGATTCTTCTACAGGTCTTCAGCAACCCTCAGAACAGGAATCCTCTGAACAAGGAATCTCGCAGACGTCACCACACATGTCCACGAAAGAGAACCTAACAAGTGCAAAGGAGGATGCAGTTGACCTCGAGAAACCTTGCCTGTTACGGAAACGAATTAAGCTGCCAGATGAATTCTTTGGCATTTCAATGGCGTTTCAATGCGTTAGGCCAAGTTTAGAATCCGTAGGCCGAGTTTGGCGTCAAGAAGCAGTGTTAGACTTTTGACAATATCTCAAAGATTGGCTCCTCTTTATCAAATCTTACGGTACACGGTACATCATTTTTCTTGTTTCACATCGAAGATGCGTCACACATATCAAAACGGCCAGGCCTACTGTGCAGCATTTAAGGGGCAAGATGATTCCGAAATCATCGGGCCAAGATTTAAACACGATGCTTCAGAATCCAAACGTGATCAGAAGATGAAACGTGGACGTCTCGTACCATACGTTCCGATTTTGGTAACTATATGATTGGTTGGTCGTTGAAAGCATCAAAACTAGAAAGGTTAAGTGATGCTCCATTTTCTTCTGACGGTTGGGACATGAGCACTAACTCTTGGCCTAGCCTTTTATGACTTATGGCTAAAGCGCCATTACTCGCTTTCTGAAAAGAGAAGAGGGAAAGAAAAAGGACAAGAACAAAGGGAAAAGGATTATGTGAAATCTATGAACATAAGCAATATTTTTGATTTGAAATATACAATGTAGAAATGCATAACGGCGGTGGTCACTACCCGAGTCTTGTCATTATTATCAAGTCATAAAAAGAAACAAAGACTAATATGTGATCCTTTGATAATTGAAAAATCCTGGTTCCCTAGTTTAAATTTGTCACGGCTGGGGTTCGATGGTAGATCTTATACCAGTAACGCACCACAAAAAGGTGATCTCCCAACGTTACTGGTTTGAAAAGATAAAAATTTACCAAATGGAACGAACTCACCAAGTTTAGTTGCTTGACATACGTTGATGTAGAAGTCCAAATTGTAGACGAAGCTTGACGAAGATCAACATGAATTTGCTAAATTTCAGGTATAAAAATGAAATTTATACATTGATATTGAAGGGATCATAGAGTTATGGAGAGTTGACTGTAGCAGAGCAACCGAAAGAAGTTTAATATCATCATCATCAATGGAGTTGATGATGCTTCATGACAAAGACCGATCAAACGGATGACGGAGTCCATCTTACATCCAAACAAAAGGGACCTCTCAAGCCACGGCGCATTGCGAAGAGCCCTTCTATCACTACCGCGAATCAGAGTTGGGACCTATCACAATCACGATCGTCAAACAGTTGATGGTAGTAACGCTTTGTACATTCCTATCGATGTGCTCGTCGAAGCTCTCTCCATGAGCATCCATCAAGTTGACGAAAGAAGTAAAAAGCAACTGGTGAATGTCGTCTTCTGTTGTGATCCATCACCGATCTGGTCATTCCCGACAATCACGACACTCATCTGAATTCGTTTTGAAGCAGTTGCTGCTTTGCTTGCTTATGTGAGTGTGTTGGTGAGTGAACCCAACAGCTTCCGTTTAATGTTGCCTGCTTTGTTTGTATCTCACACAGTCGCACCTGTCGAGACAAACCTTGAAATGCGTAGGCATTGTTTTCATTTTCTTCTTCAGTTTCGCTTTTTCTCATGATCGTACTGCAGAAGTCTTCACTGTTTTCGTTGTGCTTTTCATCATCAGCAGCGAGTGTAACATTTTGCTTGTAAGCCATGGCTCTGCTTATAACTGCGTGACAAAACGTTCTGTCAACGATAGTCGGTTGATGCGTAGACGAGTGTCACGTGGGAATCATGATATTTTGCATCACTGCCGCGAATCATCATTCCGGTGCTCAAACTCTAATTAAATTGGCATTGCAGGCACCTTAGAAAAACCGTGTCTTCTAACAATTTTACATAGAGCGATTACATTCGTAAAAATCACCATCTTAGCACCCCTCAGTGGGACTTTGTATGGCAGCGAGCTGTCAATTTAACAGTTGAGTGTCAAACAGTGAAGTTATTATCTTGCATTAAATCTTGATTTAAAACTCGAGATAAAAGTCTGTGGGATCGTTGTGCTCAGAAAATAAAGTTCTTACTGATTAATGCATAAAAACAGATAATTTGTTTCTTCCAATTTGGCATTGTCTAAAAGAATCTATCAGCTTTTCAAAAATCACATCCTTATGTTTCGGAAACTTTCGAAAATTAGTGCAAAATTATGTTTTTTTGATATCAAGTTTAATAAAAAAAATGATTCGGCGCAAATACAAGCGTGGCATCGAAGTAGGCTCTGACCATCGGTAATTTAATTGTAATCAAATAACACTCAATTATGTTCTTACGGTATTTAATTTTTTATTTTGCCCTTATGCAGGATGGGTACACATTTTTAGTTCCATTATATTATTCTAGTATTTTTTATGTTTTGAAACATGTTGCATTGCACTTGGTAGCAATTTGAGATTACACGATTAAAAATAGAGACGAAAAAAAAAATCGCGTTACAGAATTGAGTGTAATGCAATAAAAATGTCTCATGCTGAATGTCATTTCAAAACACATTTTGATCATTTCCTTGAGAGTAACCGTTCTTGAATTTGGCCAAGTTGGTTGAAAATGATTCTTAGCCTACAGAGTTGAAAAAAGTAATATGGATTTCTATCACTATGATGCATATAAAAGGAGCGACATGTATCATACAAGTTAACATTCAAAATATTGTATGCAACATTTCTTGCAAAAACCGGCGCCGGTGATGTAGTGGTAATCGTGACTGCTTTGTATTTAACACCCCGATGGGTCTGGGTTCAATCCCAGCCGAGGTCGGTGGGATTTTTCTGAGGCATAAGAATCTCTGGTCACGTCTTACTTCGGAAGGGAAGTAAAGCCGTTGGTCCCGGCCCATATGTGTGTTTGAATGGGTGCGATATCCTACGCAGGTGTGGAAGCTGTCTTCCTGTACATTCGATTGCCTTCAATGGATGGCAATCGATGTCCGTCGGTGATTGACACTAGATTGCGGAACAGAGGCCGACGTTAAATAAAGGAATGAGGAAGGATTTCTTGCAAGTGGTATTATGGAAGAAATATATTTGAAATTATCATATTAGAGATAACTGAAAGCAGCTTTAGTCCGAGAATTAGAAGGTGCTAGCTCTACTGTTGATCCAGAAACCCATTTTAAAATGTTTGATAATTCATACCAATTCCGAAGTCACTTTCGGAAGCCATAAGCTCCACATGTCTACAGTATCAGTATCACATGGCTAATGGAACTGCAAGCACACCTTCAGATTCAGATCAATACTTTGAATCCAGCGCGTATTTAATAAAGCATGATGTAAAACACGATTGGGAATATCCATTGTCAGTTAAATAATATGAAAAGATCTCACCAAATTAAGTGTCTATAGATCCTGTCTTAAGACATTACGGTCACCATCGTCCTCCTCCTCTTGCTTGTAGATGCTTTTTTCGCAGCAGCACGCATCAAAAGTTCTATTCAAAGGCACTAATTTCCGCATTCAAAGCAATTCAAAGTTTCATTTGTACAGATACTTAACACATCAATCATTAAGTGATAAGAGAAACATCGTTTGAGTATCATTCTGGCAGCCATCTTCCCATTGCTCAATTCGATAGAGCTCCTTCGGAACCGTACGTTTCCTGTAAATACGAAATCCAATTTACCACCAACGGATTTACGCTTACTCACCCATGGTCCTTTGTTGTTGTTGTTGTTGTTGTCGATTCCGCTATCCCTTCTGGAGACACAATTATTCTCGTCGCTTCGCCTTCAATTCCACCTCAGTTTCGAATCGAATCGAAGCTGAAATGTCACTCCAATTGGCGCCACCACACCCGTGCACCGTGGGCTCTGGGCATTCCACCGACCAAAGTCGATTAATCCTCTTTCGTAGGGTTTCTTCCAACGAACTTACAACACGCCCGCCAACGAAAACCAATCCACTTTCCTTTCTCCAATTTATTTTAATCAATTTCTGCTATTGATTTATTAGCTTTTACAGACACTGAATTGATATATTTCGCACTTGACTTATTTCTCCTGCATTGAGCTGTTTTCCGAAAACACGAACGGTTCGGACGGCCGCAATCGAGTTAAAGCCCTGAAAAACAAAAACACGACACTGAATTGAATTTCCACCGCACCAACACTGCACTGTTTTAGCAAATTCCATTTCAATCGGTCGGTGTGTGTGTTTGTATTATTTCTATTGATTGAATTTATTTCCGAACTCGCGTGTTCCCCTGATTTCGCTGCCTCCGCGCACGCACCCTGGCTGGTTCGGATGTTCCGAGGTTTGTGTGTGAGTGCGTAGGCTCGTCGGACTCTCTGCTATTGTTTATTTATTTATTTCAAGCTACCGCTGCTGCTTCCTGCTGGGGCCGACGAGTGGACAACAACCACAACAACGTTGATGATCGATGAACGGTTTGTTGCAGTGCAGATAGGAATTTGGGAAATGCCAGTGGCTGTTTGTCTGATCGGATATTCACTTACTGAAGCATTATCCGAATAAAATCGAAAATTTCTCGATCACATTTGGATTATATTTATTGGCAAATCGGGAGGGATTTATTTGATTTAATTATTGTTAGGATCGGTCATAACTTCGAAAAAAGCGTAATTTGAGTCATTTGTTTGAATACAATCAATGTACTAGCTTACTAGATGCATGAATTAAGCTACCTTTTCGAGTTTCCCTTTTCAACATACACTCAAAAAATTCCCCACGTCATCATCATGTGTCTCGAGGGGGGTGACACATCTAAATCTCAATTCTAGATGCTCAAAAAATCTCACACTTGCGAATCAATCTTCGAAAAATCATCTTTCATTTCTCGCATCTGCTTGCATCGTGCTTCATCTTTTTGCAGAAAATCTTCAAAATCGACATAAATCTTCCTTCTATCTACTCAGCGTGCGTGCAGCTAGCCACAGCAAAACACAATCTTTTCTGCATCGTAGATAGAGTCGCCCCCCTCGATGTGTCTCTAACTTCATTGAGCACTTATTGTGAAACACATCCATATGTTAATCTTATGCTGTGAACCATTTTGGTTTTTGAATTGTGACACACTTGGACTCTATGTGCCTCACATGGTGATATCAAAGCTTTTCACATCATAGTTCAATGTTGTACAATATTCTACTTTATCGACTACTACTTTACTGACTCCAAAATTGAAGCGACAAATACATCGACAGTGAGCATACATAAGGGCATATACGCGATGATCGATTCTCTTCATCGATTTGAATTTGTTCAATGCAGAGTTGTAACAGGTTGTATTGGCTATCAAAAACAAAGGCAAACGCTCCAAGAAACGTTAATTCTAGCGAGTTATTAACAAAAGAGAAAATCGACGAAGAGAATCGATCATCGCGTTTACGCCCTCATGTCGATTTACCCTCACTGTCGATATAAACAAAGCTGCTAGAGGGCAGAGCTTACACATGCCTTTTATTAATGGGTCTGATTTGTGAATTGATCCTGAAGTGTTGGGGTGTGTTGCTGCAGTTGTCTTTGTTCGATCTCACTGGTCACGGTTATTCTCATATACGAGGCTGGTTGATAAGGATGAAGTCACAACTCATGTTTTCGATGTTTACCTTGCAGAACCAAAAATTCACATTGCATTGAATTGCAAAACACTTCAAATTCATCTGTTTTGGACAGTAGTGTGATTCAAAGTTCAATACACTTAAATTGATAGAGAAAGATTGTCAACATTTCAAAGTTTCAAACACTAGAAATTAACGTGTAGAATATTGTTGGTTGCAACTAAAACTGGACTGCTCCAAACATACAAAAAGTGTGATAAAAGCGAACGTTTACGTCAAATCGTTTTGTTGTCTTCGGTGCACTTATTTCTTACTCCATAAGGAATAAGTTCGCTCAAGACAACCAAACGATTTGACGTAAACGTGCACTTATATCACACTTTTTAATTAGTGAAAACGCGTAAATCTTTTCCAGTTTGGTGGGAAATGCGTAATACATTGAACTATGGTCAAATACACTTACATGTGGACTTTTTGAGTGTACACACTGGGAAAATACCGCATGTTACATTGGTGAAGCAACTTCATCACTTCTTCTGGACACCATGGTCAGCAATTTAATATCGAATTCATTTGTAGATGATTTGACAGTCAGTGTTGAGGAGTTTGATTTTGTTTTCAAGTTGTATTAAATAATTGTATGTGTGCCAAATTCTGTGATTTGATAATTCCAGAAAAATGGCAGTTTCATAGTTTTACCCATTTCATCGAATATGCTTTTAATAAACTCGATAATCCTCATAAATCTGACTTTTTAACGCTTCAACAATAATGCTCTTAAATTCGCCTTAATCCATCCACCTTTCACCTTTCTCCCCAACCCGAACTACCTTTGGCTATTCACATTCACCGATCGGGTCATTCCTCTTTCCACCTTTAAGGGTCCCCCACGTTATCGTTGGAAAAGCTAATAAAATAAAAAAAAAATTGATTGCATTCGCCCTGACTGACCGCGCAGCGGTTGGATGAAAACGCGATGGGGCTCCAGGTCAGCGAAATGTTGAGGTTAGGAGAAAAATCTCATATCGCGATGACGCTCGCTGGGTCGCTGGCAAAAAATGTGCGATAACTTTTGGTCGTCGTCGTCGTCGTCGTCTTCATGAGTGAGGACGTGACCGGATCAAAGGATTATAGTGTTTCCATTCCAGTTGGTTTTTCACTGATATGGATGCCGGTAGTGGAACGGGTGGGTGCGATGGTCGATTAAAGGGATCAATGGAGAAAACGGGAAAAAGAGTTTCCCGTCCTTTTTTATTTTTTTTCGAGTATTTTTTTTAATTGTGTTTAAAGGATAGATTTTCAAAAGGCTGTTTTAAACCAACTCTTTGGTCGCCCATGCAAACCAATAACAATTTGAAAAGCAATCCGTTTTGCAACGTTATCATTTCACTGATGTAGAGGGGCCTAGGATAGAACCCATGATCTTCTGTTCATTAAGAAAAAACGGACACCACTAGGTCACCGAGCTCCTCACATCACAACAAAACCTTCATTCCTGATTACCGTTCAAGCCTTTCGGCATAAAGGAATTCATATGGAATCGATTTGATAAATCATGTGATCTTGTTAACAGTAAGAAAGGCACTGTTGGGACAGAAAGTGGATTTTGGACTGGTACAGCACGACTCGTTTTTATGCAATGTGCATGAGTCAGCTTTTCAGCTGTAATATATTTAATTAGGATTATACGGGTTTGTTAAATGTTTGTTTTTATGTGTCCACTTACATTTCTAGTCCTTATTAGTGTGTTTGTTCTCTGTCCAACAATTTTAAACTAGAATAATTATAAATTTTAAGAAAAAACTTGTTCTGCGTCTTGCTTGTTCTTTGTTCTAGCCTTTAATGGTGAGTTTACTTGTCGTGTGTAGGTATTTAGGAACTATTCAATTCATTGACATTTCAATGCATATATATTGTTCTGGAGTGATTCTCACACCTTTCTTTCCTGGTTGCAATCTGATCCTAGAAAGTATTGACAATTCGTTGCTTTCAGGCTGACGGAAATCCACAATTTAACGCAGGTCGACGAGTGGCGTTGGGTGCCAACCCGTTTAAACGTTGCCGACTAGGCTTCAAAGTGGGGCAAAGGTCCAAATATCGCCTCCGACAGTCGCTGGTTCCATGCGCCATCATTCCTCTATCAACACCTGGATCTGTGGCCACACAGTGGAAGAACTTCGTCCGGTACACCTCCATCAGAATGTCGTCGGAAATCAGCTGCTGTGAAAGGTTCTCGAAATGGGAGCGCCTGGTCCGGGCGGTAGCCTTCGTACGCAGGTTCGTTGACATCCTTCATTGCAGAATCAAGAAGCTAGCACCAGGTAAAACAGAGTTCCTTTATCGGGACGAAATACTCAAGGCGGAGTCAACCATTTTCAAGCTGATTCAGCTAGAGACCTTTGGAGATGAGCTCGTTATCTTCAAGAGAAATCGAGCACTTCTCGCTGGAGAACAAATGAAGATCGAGAAAACTAGCAAAATCTCTAAACTTTCTACCTTCCTGAACGAACAGGATGTCATGCGGATGGATGGCAGAATTGCAAATGCTCAGCAGGTATCGTTTGACTTCAAGTTTCCCGTGATTCTTCCCAAAAGACACGGCGGAACTAAACTCCTCGTCGATTGGTACCATCGGCAGCACAAACACTGCAATGCTGAAACAGCGATGAACGAGATGCGTTAAAGGTTTCACGTATCGGAGATGAGGGTTGCCTTCAAGCTAGCCAGAAAGCAGTGCCAGTGGTGCAACATCTACAAGGCGACTCCGGAGATTCCACGAATGGCTCCCCTGCCTCAAGCTAGGACGGTGTCGCACATTCAGCCATTCACCTATGTCGGCGTGGACTACTTCGGGCCAATGCTGGTTAAGCAGGGACGCAGCGAGGTTAAGCGTTGGGTTGCACTATTCACTTGCTTGACCATACGTTCAGTGCATCTGGAGGTGGTGCACAACCTAACGACGGAATCCTGCAAGATGGCGATTAGGCGGTTCATCGCATGGGGGGTCATGGGAACGCATGGTTCGGTCGGTTTAAAGTGCGCTGGCATCTTTGAATACCGGGGGCAAGCCGGACGATGAAACCCTTCGTACGTTCCTGATCGAGGCTGAATCTCTTGTCAACTCACGGCCTCTCACATATCTGCCAATCGATTCCGAGCAACAAGAAGCACTTACCCCTAACTGCTTCCTAATGCTGAGCACTAGCGGAGTTAATCAGCCAGCTAGGGAGCCGATCGACGAGAGGGCAGTGGTACGCTGTAACTGGGACCTGTGCAAACAATGTTACACTTTTCGAAGTTATGCCGACAAAAATGCGCCAACAATTGCCGAAGTTACCGTGTATACTTTTAATAAAAGCAACCAAATCTTCAATGCAACATCATTATCCCTTCCTTCTACACGACGTCACTGGAGAGGTCCATAGAAATGGATTTATCTCATTCTCGCACAGTCGCACCCGCCGAACAATTAGCCCGAGATACAATAGGACGGCAATTGCAAGGATTGAAATCTGGCGTGTGGTTGGTTTCAGCCGGTGATGCCTGAAATTTGTGAGTTTTCCTAAACGAACAGACGTTAAAAGTGATCTAATATCACTAAGTGATAGTGAGCTCGTTGTATGTTCAAACGGTCCCAGAGATCGACAGATTCGATGTGCCGTAAATGAATGAGACACCCGTACAAGACACGTGCATGGTAAATTCGCTAAAGCCGGATAACTCGCCCAGAGAGTATTGCATGTACTTCTGGAACTCGAGCTACTCAAATCGGGATATCTACGAGAGGGCTCTCCAAACCGTCACCGTTTCGACAATCGGAGGGCAATAGGTCAAAATGACTCAAACACGCCATTAGGTAATACGAAGTCATTCATGCAAATTTGGATTAGTACCAATTTCCGATTTTACAGTACGATCGTCTACGTTATCTAACGATCGAGATCATCGAGCCTGCGACAAAGAGATACCAAAGGCTCTCAGAAGGTAACCTGATCATTATCAGTGATGACTGGCTAACGCAGTGCCACCTCTACAGAGGGCCTTTATTTACAGCCTCAGTTCCTCACGAGATCACCTGACGATCGTACCCAGTCGAGCGGACCATCCCGGGTCGCCTCAAATCGCGCCACCAGACACTATTGTCTCGTCAGCGCATTCCAGTGGATTGCCAGGAGCGATAAATCCACAAATCGGTGATAGTTCACCAAGGCGGCTGAGTGCAGCGGTGCGGCACACAAGGCAATAGTGCGACGCGCACAGACGGGGCAACGGGAGGCAGTGGACAGTGCGACGATAGACTGCTGCGTGACAAGCGCTGATACACTGGTGCCGTGGGGCTACAGAGGAATGTGACGGTTGCATACCGAGCGTCAACACAGTGTGGCTCGACACCGATACGGCGACTGTTTGTTGTCGCGCGATAAACGGTGGTGCATCCACGCAACAGTGACGTTGTGGATCTACGGTGCAACGAAGGGCAACGACCTGATTGCGCGACACGGAGGTGCATCAGCAACATGAGCATGCAGGTGAAGCAGCATCACGGGGCCCCCAACGATACACGTTAGGAAGAAGACTAATGCATGTATGTCTGTAGTAATAAGCTTTTAAGAGATGCACATTATATCGTTAAGTAGCAAAATCCTGAAGTTATCGTTCAGTGATTGAGTTTTTTGAATGAAATCATCCTCGTTTCATTCCCGGCCATCTGTATCTAGTACACCTTATTAATCGTGAGTGCCGAATAAGAGCTTTGAATGTGCAATTGCACCGAAGGACCACTTCTCCCTTTTGTGGTACAGATTCCGTCATTAGCACTATTAATTGACTTCGATTGCATTGAGTTTCGACATTCCTGTCGTATCTTGGACAATTTCTCATAGTTAAAGAGAAAATTGTCACATTGGCGCCCAGACAAAAAACCCACTATTGCGTGCTGTAATTCGCGTGCGGTCAAGTGAGTGATCAGTGATTATTGGTGATACGAGTGTGAAGTAGCAGATCCCTCATGGATTTGGACCACCTCACCCCAGAGGAACTGGACTTTGAACTGGCGATAAGATCAGCGAAAGGATTGAAAGGACAGGATCGAAACTGGAAGACGTTACGGCTGCTACAACTGATAAGCAAGGAGAACGGAGGAGGAGCAGCTGCACCAACAGCGTCATCACATGTGCTTTCGGACGTCGATAGCATATACCAGTGCCAAGCGAAACTACCTCCAATTAGTCAGGCGTTGGAGTCAGCTTTACGACAGAACGACGAAGATCAAGTAAGGGTTTGCAGATCCAGGCTGCTGCACTATAGATTCAGACTGTCCGTTATTTCGGATCCGACGATAACAGTAAATGCTAAGAACACGCTGGCCAAGATCGACAAAACTCTAGAAAGGATTGAAGAATTCCTAGTAAACTTGGCGTGTGCAAATCCAGATAATGAAGAAGACAACCCCGATCCCGAAGAACTACCTGGAGATCCAGATACGCAGCAAAGGCTCAAGATCGCGCAGCTACAATCTAGCATTAAGGAAGCTTCCCAGCAGCAACAACTGTTGGAGCAGGAACTTCAGCAACAATTGCATCAGCAACAGCAACAGCTACAACAACAGGAATATCAACCAACTCCGGAAAACCAGCATGAACTGTACGAGCAACAACAACAACATCGGCAGCTACAGCAACAACAAGACATAATACGACAGCATCAGCGACAGCTGCAAGAGCAGCAGCAGCTCAGACTTCAACAGCAAAAGCAAGAACAACAGCTCCAACAACTAGTGAACCAGATGCAACAACAACAACAACAACTGGAACAGCAGCTTCATCAAGAGCAGGTCAGAAGGCAGCAAATGGAATTGCAGTTGCAAGACCAACTACACCGAGGCATTCCAGGGGCGGGACCTCAGAATAACAACACGTTTCCAGGATATTGGGACCCATACCTCCAAAACCAATCAGGAATACCACAGCAGGCATCAGGAATGGATCATATTCCTCCCCACTTGCGAGATGACTTCAAAAGGTTCCTAAGATCTCAAGGCAGGCCCAGTACACCAAGAACACCGAATCAACAACCGTCTGCAAACAGGTTCACTCAACCGGTACATAAATGGCCTTTTGAATACACGGGTCAACCCAATATCATTCAGTTAGGTGAGTTCCTCAACCAGGTAAACACCTACGCCGACACTGAAGAAATTGATGAGCAAACCTTGCTCCGATCAATCAAACACTTACTCAAGGGACGAGCTCTTCAGTGGTACATTCGCTCCTATCTTCAACTAACCAGCTGGGAGGTGTTCAAGTCAGAAATTAAGCAGGAGTTTCTACCACCGAACTATTCCGAGATCATCGCACATTATATCGTTAAGTAGCAAAATGATGTTATCGTTCCGTGATTGAATTTTTTGAATGAAATCATCCTCGTTTCATTCCCGGCCATCTGTAGCTAGTGCACCTTATTAATCGTGAGTGGCTAGCAGGCCCGAATAAGAGCTTTGAGTGTGCAATTGCACCGAAGGACCACTTCTCCCTTTTGTGGTACAGATTCCGTCATTAGCACTATTAATTGACTTTGATTGCATTGAGTTTCGACATTCCTGTCGTAGCTTGGACAATTTCTCATAGTTAAAGAGAAAATTGTCACAACTACTGGACAGGTTCTGGGGTCGATGGATCAAGGAGTATCTTCCTATGATCACTAAGCGTACGAAGTGGTTCGTGGATGGAAGTCCCGTTCAAGTTGGTGATCTGGTAGTTGTGGTGGAAGACCGGATCCGGAATGGTTGGCTGAGAGGACGAGTACTACGTGTTTTTCCAGGACGTGACGACCGGGTACGGAATGCAGAGGTATTGACAGCCAGTGCAGGAGTGCTGGTTCGTTCAGTGGCAAAGTTGGCAGTTCTGGAAGTTGGTGATAACGCTGAAGTAAACATCGAGAAAATACGGGTCGGGGAATGTTCTGAACGACGAGAAACCAGCACCCCGGTGCGACAGGGCTACCCGGTCTACACGCAGCAGGATGAACTATAAATAAGAATACCAATATATACGCATTGAATTGTCAACGAATTGAATAGTTCCTAAATACCTACACACGACAAGTAAACTCACCATTAAAAGCTAGAACAAAGAACAAGCAAGACGCAGAACAAGTTTTTTTTCTTAAAATTTATAATTATTCTAGTTTAAAATTGTTGGACAGAGAACAAACACACTAATAAGGACTAGAAATGTAAGTGAACACATAAACACACACATTTAAAAAACTCTTATAATCCTAATAAAATTTATTACAGCTAAAAAGCTGACTCATGCACATTGCATAAAAACGAGTCGTGCTGTACCAGTCTGAAATCCAGTTTCTGTCCCAACAGACACTATAGGAAATCAATGCGGCCGTCGCATATTTTTTCGACGTGAAGGAGCTTGGGATTGTACCCACAATCTTCTGATCAGTAAAGAACATTTTCAGGCCAAATATAGAACAAAAAAAAAATTCAGACTCGACCTTCTACGTTTTACATGAAACATTGCATAGTTGCATCTATGATCAAACATTCACATTCTATCATAAATCTAAAAAAAAAAAATCAAAATGGCGTATTGAGAATTTTTTAACAAATTATAACTTGAAACTTTCACTTACTATCGAAATGGCGTCTGCGTTTAAGTTGAATGAAAAATTATTAGCTTTACATGAAAAATATACACGGTAAAAATTCAAGTTATTTTGAGTGTATAAATAAAAAAATAACGGGTTCAATATTTTTAAATGTTTTCCTTTGAAAAAAAAAGCAAAGTAACTTTAATTTTTATTCCGTTACTTTTTTTCATGAAAAGCGAATATGTTTTCATACAACTTTGTACCAGACGTCATTTCAATTGAATGTGATGTTTTTAAGTTATGATATGTTGAAAAACATCGAATAAGCTATTTTGAAGTTTTTTGTGAGATTCAAAATGGACGGGTTTTAGCTCAAATGTAAATGTTTGACCCAAGGGGCTATTACCACGTCATATTTTGAAACCTACATGTTGATCGAATATCGAAGCAACCTGTTAATCGGAGCCGGTGGTGTAGTGGTAACCGTGATTGCCTCTCACCTCAAAGGGCCTGAGTTGAATCCCAGTTGGCACAGCTGGGATTTATTGAGGCATGAGATCTCTGATCACGCCTTCCTTCGGAAGGGAAGTAAAGCCGTTGGTCCCCGAAGCTGCTTTCCTGACGTTGGTAGAATTGTTACTCAGTACGGAAAACAAGATCGACCGAAAACAATTCAAGGAAAAAAAATAGAGGCAACCAATTAAGATTTCCATTCAATCAGCATATGCCTCTGTAACAAAACGTGACATCCGATCAAAGACATGTTGGATTCAAATTGAATGTAGGGGATTTGATAGCTGTAGAATAAAAGCTGACTAAAAGTAAATTGGTACGCCCCTCGTGCACCACTAACACGCCTCTAGTGTTAAGAATCGAAAATATTTGACAGTGGTTTGCTTCACTTTATAGAGAACAACTGGTGCAAGTTTGATCAAATTAGTCGCTCGCGTTCAGAAATAACGACAAATGGAACTCGAAAGAAGAAAAAATATTGTGCAAAACCACCTGAAAAATCCGGAGTCGTCCGGTTCCTAGCTGGCTAAAGTGCAGAAGATCCTAAAAACAATAGTTTGTCGAGTGCTCAAAACCTACAAGGAAACTCTGAGTGTGGAAAGGAATCACCGGACCTACGAAAAATTTGGAATCAGGGATTGTCAGCTGCGCAGCAAGGTGTTGAGGTGCATTAAAGGCAACCCCAGGCTTTTGATCCAAGATGTGGCCATAAGGTACAACGACAACTTTCAAACGGTGCGGAACATCCTTGCCAGAGAAGGATATAAGTCGTACAAAGCCAGTAAATATCTGAACCGGCACATGAAGCAGAATTCCCTGGCCAAAAAGCGTGCAAGGCTCTTGTACGACAGTGTTTTGAAGAAACACAAGGGCTGCACTTTGATCGATGGCAAAACATACGTCAAATTGTTTATACGTCAAACTCGATTTTAAGCAGCTTCCCGGTCAAAAATTTAGCATCGCGACTGGACGTGGGGATGTGCCGGGAATATTCAAGTTCGTGTTTGCCGACAAGTTTGCGAAAAAGGTCATGATTTGGAAAGCGATTTACAGTTGTGGCCTGAAATCGGAACCATCCGTCACATCCTCGACGATGACATCCCAAGTTTACATCGAAGAATGCTTGAAAAAGCGTGTATTGCCGTTCATCCGCAAGCATAGGGGTCCTAGTCATCTACAACTACCACTACTCCAAGTTGATTCCGGAGTGGTATGCTGCCAAAAATCGATTTTGTACCCAAGCTAATGAATCCTCCGAATTGCCTGGAATTTCGACCAATCGAAAAATACTGGGCAAATTCAAAGCAGGCGTGTCCGTTTCCACTGTGCGGGCGCTGATGGGCTCCGTCAAGAGGAAGGTTCGAAGTGGGGAAATGTAACCATCTAATGCTGTAACTTTGAAGTTTTAGTAAAAGTACTGTAAAGCAACCATTAATGGATTTTTTAAACTTCTTGAATCACGAATTTTAGGTCTTTTTGTGCGTACCAATTTACTTTTAGTCAGCCTTTACCCCTGGTCTGACCATAGCAAACCTATGCTTACGTCCGATGATGATTTGAGTGTGACACAATCGAAAAAACTGTTTCCGCACATCGAAGGTACGCGAGCAAATCGGCGATCATTACTTTTGCCAGTGGTGGCAGCGAGAGGGGGGATACTCCTTACCATCCTTTTCCCAACGATGGAGTTTGGTAAAGGTGATGATCAATCCGATGTCTACCTTCCTTAAAATTGACCTTTGCTCGCTTTCTACTCTCTATTTACAATTTTCACCCTGCCGTACTCTAACGGAACTATCAACTCTATATTTTCATCTCCTCATCTATCGTATAAAATGGCCACTTTAAGACTGACATTTGACGTCAAGCATCTCCAACTAAACAACACATATTAAGGTAAAGTTTCATGAAAATTGGAGTAGGTTGCATCAGATCGATTCGTCATTTGACGTGGAACTACTCTAAGCAAAACTGGTTGCCACTAGGCCACCAAGCTCTTCATATCACCATAATCCACAGCGCACCGCTCCTTTTTTATAAATCCCGAGTGAACTCTATTAAGCTAAAAGTAGGTTTTACGCAATTCACCGTATCTATACACATCAAAAAAGTAATGTAAATTTTGGTTTCCTGAGACCGACACATGTAAGCGGCCCTTTTGACATAAGAATCAGTTGAAAGAAACGTGAAAATCTATTCAATCAAACGTTCTCTTCATCGATTTGCTTATGTTTCGGGTTAAGAACACTTAATTTTACATGAAATATTTGTTACGTTCCATGATTTACGTCCATCATGAATTACGTCTCGGGTAAAAGTAGTTATTTCTTAGTTCGTACCACCTTACCACCACCGATACAACCTGAAAAATCCTCTATATAGACCACCATATAGAGCTTGCAGACCATCGTAAAAAGTGTACCCCTTTGGAAAAACTTGGTAAATACAAGTGCACTTTGGTTATCAAGTGATGCCTCGTACAAAACTTTTTTAATCTAATTTTAGTATCGCTTGCGAAGCTTGGAACGAATGAAAACGCGTCCAATATTTTTTTGATACACAATATCTCAAAAGTCTACCGGATATGTATATATACAGAGTTAGGAATATTTTTCGACGGTCAGGAACGCTACTAAGTTGAATTGTTATTAGGTCAGTTATAAAAATAATGAAAAACTGATCGCATAATTTTTTTTTAAGAAAATTTATAACTTGAAATATATTAAAAGATGCATTTTTGGGGACACGTAGGTTGAACTATCTTAAAAGATGCTGGAATAAGTCCCCTTCCCTAACCTTTTTTCACAAACAAATAGTTTATTTTGCTGGCATATCCTTCGTTTCGAATAGCTTTTCTTAACAATATCGGGTCAGAACTGACGAAAACATGATTATTCAAATTAAATATCATTGGTAGTCACATTAAAGTCTGGAACGCGCAAAAATTGGTCAACTTCAAATTGGTGTATTTTTGTTTAAAATGCATTAAAAAAAACCCTAAAATGCTGCATTTGGAAGTTAAGTGTATATGCAATGGTTGTCATGATGAGTTTTCACCGTTTGCTCTCCAGTTTTCAAAATGACGTCCAAGCAAGAGGAGCAGCGTTTCAAAATTTTGCTCGCGCAGCAAGATAATCCGACATTCTCACCCGCCAAGTCGGCAAAATTGCTGGATGTGGCCAAATCGACCGTGACAAACGTTTTAAAAGTGTTCGGGAAGCGTCTGTCGATCGCCAGGAAGCCTGGAAGCGGCGACAATCGTGATCCGTATGCAGATTCAGCAGAACGTAGTACTCAACTCCACTTGGCACTGATGAAGTCTGCAAGTAGTAGACGAAATACGCGTATCTGTCAAAAGATAAGCAATTATAACGGAATTTAAAGGAAATAAACCAACACACTCAAAGCTCTTCAATGACTTTTTGTCAAGAAGAAGAATCGATTTTCAGTTTTCGACAAAGTTGTTACACTAAGTATACTCAATCGGGACTTCATGGACAGTCCATAACCCTATCGAAACCCACAGTATAAAAATCGTAGTCTCTGATATTTTTATACTTTCCCGGCTGACATTTACACCGAGAAGGAAGCATGGCTCCCTGATATGAAATCTGTCTAATCTAATTTAACACCAACACAGCCAGTTCTTGAAAGCATCCTGGAAAATGATATATATACCTACATCAATTTTCTTGTCTATTTGATAAATGTTTCACATCGAAGATGCGTCACACATATCAAAACGGCCAGGCCTAATGTGCAGTATTTAAGGGGCAAGATGATTCAGAAAACATCGGACCTGTTTAAATCAAAGTTTTAAACAAGATGCTTCAGAATCCAATAAATGGATGAAACGTAGACATCTCGCACCGTACGTTCCGATTTTGGTAATTATATGATTGGTTGGTCGTTGGAAGCATCAAAGCTAGAAAGGTTACATGATGCTCCATTTTCTTCTGACGGTTGGGGCATGAGCACTAACTCTTGTCCTAGCCTTTTATGACTTATGGCTATAGCGCTATTACTCGCTTTCTGAAAAGAGAAGAGGGAAAGGAAAAGAAGAAGGACAAAGGGGAAAGGAATATGTGAAATCTATGAACATAAACAATATTTTTGATTTGAAATATACAATATAGAAATACATAACGGTGGTGCTCACTACCCGAGTCTTGTCAATATTTTCAAGTCATAAAAAGTAACAAGGACTAAAACGTGATCCTTTCATAACTGGAAAATCCTGATTCCCTAGTTTGAAGCTGTCACGACTAGGGTTCGATGGTAGATCTTATACCAGTAACGCACCACAAAAAGGTGATCTCCCAACGTTACTGGTTTGAGAAAATAAAAATATACAAAATGAAACGAACTCACCAAGTTCAGCCAATTTAACCTGAAGGCTGCTTGACAGTTCACAGAAGTCCAAATTGTAGACGAAGCTTGACGAAGATCAACATGAACTAGTCCGGTTTATGGTAGTTGCGCGGAATGTCTTCATGTAATTGTCCCGAACACAATCTATGTCTTAGATCTGGTCAAAATTGAGCTATTCTTGACTTTTTGACAGGTATCATACATACATTTTCCCTTAAAAACTTTAGAGCTCTCCCGCAAATCCAAATCTTTACAAAATTCGTTCAAATTGTTCACATTTTTTGTGGGGAGCAGGGGGTTGTTAAGTTGACCCACCCTAGTGGTCATGGACCCATTTAAAAATGTAAGTGGCTTCATCCACTCAAAATTGTTTTTGCTTTCAACGATTGTTGAAGAAAATGAGATGAAAATTGGTCGCCAAAAATCAGATTGAATTCTATTTATTGCTATATGTGACCATCATCACGAAAAAGGAATGTAAGAAACAGTGTAAAAAAAAACCTACCAAAATTTTGATTTTTCAAATGCTTTTGATGCCATTTGTATTTATAGCATGCTATGTTCCATATAGACATATTTTAAAAAAAATCTGTATTTACAACAAAAATTGTGATTTTTTAAAAAGTATGCCATTCGATTACCTATAGCTTGAAACGGATAATGTGATTAGAATCAAGTCGATAGGTTGAATCGTTGTCAAGAAATCGTTAAAAACTACCGTGTAAATCGCGAAAAACCGTGTACAAAAGACTTCAGTGAACAATAATTTTAAAACGTTAAATTCGGGCACATAAACAGGCAGTGCAATTAATTTTCAATATGTATTAAACTGTCCTTGATACACGACAACGAAAAAAACATGGCTGGACTGTCCGAGCGATTTGATTATCTGTAATGACATTTTTTAATTTTCCGTCCGACCTTTGATAATTTTTTTTTTATCTTGTTTGAAAATATGTCAATTGTTTATAGATTCGCTTGTTGTTTGCTGCAGATAAGCCAATCATTGGCCGAAATTTTCAGATTTATGAACTTCTAAATCTTGAGATTTGTTATAAGAAAAATGACTCTTCAAGAAAGCACCCTAATACAAATGTAAAACACCAAAAGATATAGAGTTATGGACATACCGATGCTCTACCCACGTCCACTAACCAACCGAACGTGGCCTAGACGCTGACTCGACAACATCCCCGTATTCGACTCCATGCACGAGGCACCTGGCGACAAGAATCAGCATATCACACCACATGGATGGAAACAGGCCAACGCTTACTCGACAATGCACTTTGGACACCGAAGAATTCGATGACCAGCAATTGTCAACATAGCAGTTGACGATCGGTTACCACCCAGAGGAGTTTTGCTGAGACTGCAGGAACAACAAACAAAACCAGTTGCAGAGGCAGGAGCGAGCGTAGTTTTTGTTAGGTTCTAGTTGAGAAGAGTTGTTGTTCAGACTTAGTGTTAAAAGTTAAATGTAATTACCTGTAAGAAGATAAAAAATCATTTTTTTTATCATGCCAAGAATCATCCTGGCATAAGTATAGAGCTTTTGAAATTCCGCGAAACACATTTTTAAAATTTAAAACTTTAAAGTGGATTCAAATTGTCTAGATTTAGTTCCTCTTATGAGGTTTCAGACATTGCATTTTCCAGTTGCTAAAAAACAACGATAAAACTTACAATGCTACTTGGGTTAGATGTATATCTTAACAATTAAGACTGGTAAGTTACTGTACTGTAGTACTGGAGCACCTAGATTAAAATTTATTAGAATTTAATTTGTATGTAGAACAAATAAAAAGTAAAAACACTAATAAATTCTGAATTATTGATGTGCAGAAATTACTGTTTGAAATTGTATGAGAATATAACAAAAAATAACTTTAGAATTTTCCCGAACAAAAAAAAAACAAATGTATCAAAAAGTCAGAACGTTAAAGTTAATAATCAAATTCTCATAGATTAAAAAATAAAACCAATAATAAATCGGAATTAGATAAATTCTCAAACTTGCATTAAATCGAGCGGTTTACAGAGAGCCCAAAATTAATCATACAATTGCAAACAAATAAGAAAAATTAATCACTTTCATCAACACACGGCGATCAAGATCACCGCATACTTCATTAACTAGCCAATCAATCGTGTGAAAAATAGAACACATTAATTCAAGGCAACCGCGTTAGGATGATCTCGATCAGGATTAAAATCTGACTCAGCCAAGGTGAAAATTTTGATACACCCAAGTAGAGCTACCAGCGCAAAGTTGGCACGAAAACAAACAAAAAAAAAACCGTCAGTAGCTGGTTGTTGACATTGTCACAGTAGCGAGTGCGGTCGAGAACGATGACGGCACGGTGAAAATATGTGTCCTTGGTGATATACATTTCTGTTTGCGTCGCTCACTAGCTTTCTGACATCAATTTTCCCCACTTGCCGTAGCTGTGTGTCACGGTCCGCGTTAGTGCATGACCGAGGGACCCGTCCATCTTCTTCTTAACACCGTTTCAAGTGTGAGAAATTGCTTCACCATCAACAATCGATGAACCCCTCACCGTAAGTTGGGGTCCACTGCACTGCAATCCAATCCATCATCGTATGGGCACATAACCACTTGAGCTAAACGAGCGCACCCGTAGATTCCGGTGATAGCGTCGCTAGGCACACAAAGAATCACCCAACCGTGCTTGACTCATACCGAAACCGGTACCGGTACAAAGTTTAAGTACATCGCACCCTCGGAACAAGAACCGCCAAACCAACCGGAGCGGAAAACTATAGAGCACGGCAGTCAGCAATGCGAGAGTCGGTAGATTATGATCTTCAGAATGCACGCACCAGTTGCACAATTTTGAATTTGAATGCTTTCGCGACGATCAAACGCGACGACGACCCGTTCCGGACGGTGTAAGTGGTCTAACTGTTTCTTGCACCGCGATCGGAACTGACTTGCGGAAAAGGTATTAAATCGCGCGAGTGAGTTGCGCGCAGTCTCTCCTGGTACTTCACGGCCAATGAGAGTAACGCAATTGTGAAATAATCCTCGATTTTCCAGGAAAAAACTGCTTGAATATGAAGAAAATCGAGAGATTAGTACACTCATAGGCTGAGTAAAATTTTCTTTGATTTTACTCACATTCCAGCAGTTTTTCCCGGAAAGTGAATAGCCCCGCTTACTGCAACTTTCAGTCCAATGCGACTCAATTTTGAGCTACTCTCATCGGCCGTGCGTGTACTTTCCTGTCTAGCTTGACTCGAACGCGACCGCAACAAAGAGAGTGGGAGGCAGTTCAATGCAGAGAAACCAGAGAAAGAGAGTGCAATACTTTTACTAGGTTCGGCTCGGTTCGGTTGGGTTGGGTGTGATGTAGTTTGTGGTGTCGCCGGACGGAAAGTAGTGCAGCGTGCAGCACCAAAAGGTAAACGGTGAAGAATCGGGTTCTCTTTCTCCACCTACAACAACACTGCGACCAATGAACGGCTGGGTGGGCGAGGGAAGACTTGAAGATGGTGGGTGGTGTTGGGGATATCCTGAGGAATGAAGGGTAAAGAGAGCAGCAAGCGTGGTAGCAGTACGAAAACGAAACGGGGCAAGCTGCAAAAATGCAACCGTTTCTAATGTGGCGACTTTTCGTAGTATTTGTTTGGACGGTGAGTGATTGATTTCAACGAATCTGGTTTGGCTCCGTTGCGGTAGAATTCTTAGTGGATAACGTAAGCATTAGAGTGGCTTGAAATTTAAAATTTACTTCACACAATTTAAATCAGCTCCGAATCATACCATCCAAATCTAATCTAATTTGGTTGCAATCGGAGATTGTGCTAACTATTTGAAGTTTATAAAGGGTATTCTCAAAATTCGAGTTTTTATCCGATTATCACCAAATTTTCAGGGAGTAAAATGAAACAATTAAAGTCAGTTCTGGCATCATTCATTTAATTTATTTTACCTTTATATCCAAATGCGCGAACCTTGACTTTAACCCCAGCCATAAGGTTCTACACGACCTCAGAATCTACAGTTTTTTTTTGCATATTAACCCATGCTTTCTTCATTTCTTCTACATTCTTTGCCACTTTAGGTTGTTTTAGAAGGTGCTCCTTCATAATGGCCCAGTATTTTTATATTGGGCGCAGTTCCGGAGTGTTTGGGGGGTTCAGATCTTTTGACACGAAATCGACATCATTCACCTTATAGCACCCTAGCACGTCCTTCGTGTAGTGGCACGATGCAAATTTCGGCCAGAAAATCTTCGGATCGTCGTGAGCCTTAAGCTGAGTTTAGACTAGGCAAGTCAAATGATCAATTCGGTTGAATTCAATTGGCTTGAAAAGTTGAGCTTGGTTCAACTTTTTTCAATTCAAGTGAGTTGATCAAGTCAGTTGAATGGAATGATTTACAGTTGAATTCAACTGACTTGATCAATTGACTTGCCCTGTCTAAACCCAGCATTAAGGAGAGGGAGAAGCCGCGGTGTACTCCGCTTTCCACAAGTACAAATCGCTTGCCAAATTAAGAACTTCTTGACGAACTTCGACTTTATCTGTGTCCGGAGATTCTCGGGAACACCACACTTATCCTTGGCAGTCACATACAGATTTCCTGAAATCTGGTTGAAGTCATCCATTACGCAGCAGTGTAGTTTCGTTAATTTCTGGTCGTACAACTTCCGGGCACGGCTTTTTGCGACCGTATTCTGTTTCTCGTCACGGTTTGGGGACTTCTGAACCTTAAACGTACGTAGTCCAGCTCGAGTTTTGGTAGTCTGCACGAAAGTCTTGCTCACATTCAACTTTTTAGCCACATCTCGAACTGAGTTCTAGTTTCCGTTTAGTCTGTTATTTGAAATTAGCATCTTCAACTATGTAAATTAATTTTACGCAACTGATCAAAAGTTAGAGTAATTTGAGTGTGTGCGGATTTTAAACGGTACACCCTTTACAGGATTATTGTGAATCACATACTACGGAAAAATTGTGGAACTGTAATATGAGATATAAAACGCATTTCATAAACCCCAACAAGACTTTCAACTAGATTTTTTCGAATTCAACCTTTAAGATCAGTAGATTGTAGAGATGAATTCAGAGAAATATAGATAAGCCCATGAAACTTCATTTAGAGAAGTTTAGTAGCCTCATATTCATGGAACTTTTTACAGGTGTTTTTTTTCCGCAGAGTTATTTTTATGTTATTGAAAAGTGCCCTAGAATAGGGATTTTTAAGCTTTCTTATTCAATGAGCACTTAGAGCACCCGCACCAATGCGCTGCTATTCGGGCTGCTAGCTCGACAACTTCAGCCATTGCTATTTTAGTTAGCAACTTGTTTACGCACCGCTCGTTTCTATCACGATATTTCGGCTTTCGCACCGATAGTTGCTAAACTTATAGTCGAACTTCAAAGAGTATTTGATCACAGAGTTTCGTGATTTTTTTTTTCGACAATATTGAAATACCTAACTCTATAGGTACTCAAGAAACGGTCCTCCGGAAGATCCGAATTTTTTAAAAACACTTGTTGTGATGCTACTTGAATCTGGGGCCAGCATGCGCACACTGGTGGTCACGAAACTCTCCTCTGGGCGATCTAGAACATCCATAAAAGTGGTCAATTCGTAAAAATGATCGAAATATCGATCTTCGTACGCTCCTCTTATAAAAGTTGCGTACCAAAATGCATAAAGGGGGAAGTTAAAACATTTTTAAGAGTTAGTTTCGACAGCTCCGGGGCAATCTAATAGATTTCAGAAAAATTTACTTCAGCGAAGATCAAGAGTTGTAGGGCAGTTCCATTAAATTCAGCAAAAAATTAAGCTTAATGACCTGGTAAAGGTACGTGAACTTCGAGTAAGTTCTGAACATATTAGGACAGTTCCATGAATATCTGGAAAATTGTGAGAACTTGAGAGACGTTCTTAAAACTTTAGGTTCGTTTCGAGAACTTTATGGCAGATACATTTATTCCAGTTAAATAGAGGAAACCTTCAAAAAGTTCCGAAAATTTAAGGATAGTAAAAAACTTCAGGGAATGAACCTACAAATATTAAGAAAGCTACACAGAAGATGTGGGAACAATAGGTAAGTTCCGAAAACTTCTGGAAATTTTGGTGAACTTCAGGCAAACTTCAGGAAACCGCAGGAACTTTTGAGAAAATTTTAGAAAATCAGGAATATCCAGAGAACTTTAAAGAAGTCGTAATAGTTTCTGTTTGTGCAACGTCATCTACATGTACAATAGGGTGCTTAATTCTGAAAAAAGTGATGAATTTCTGATGGGCCACCCTCCAGTTCGATTCATAGCCCCAAAATATGAACCTGTGCAAAAATTGGTAAAGATTGATGAAGGTTTAGAGGTCGCGCCAATGATTTGAAATTTGTATGGGAATTACTATGGAAGAATTTAAAAAATCGCTTATATCGCTATAACTTTGCTTCTACTTGTCCAAATGTCGAAAAAATTTAGTATGTTATTGCTATGGCAATAAACAAAAAGCCTACAGTTGCTACGCTCAGTTTTGCAGCGTATCAAGAATTATAAAAATGTGAAAAAATGGCAAAATAGGGTAAATTGACAGATGAATATGTACAAGGCAACAACGCCAATTTCATCGCAACAACAACAGGCTTGTTGATCATTGTCATGACAACCACATATTTTTTTTCAACGTTTGGACAACTACAACCAAAGTTAGAGCAATGTAAACGAAAATCAATAATTTCCCATACTAATTCACCAAAATCTCCATACAAAATCCAAATCATTGGCGCGACCTCTAAACCTTCATCAATCTTTACCATTTTTTGCACAGGTTCATATTTTGGGGCTATGAATCGAACTGGAGGGTGGCCTATCAAAAATTCATCACTTTTTTCAAAATGAAACACCCTAATGTACAACTATCCTACCCACTGTAGCTACTATACAAGCAAATAGACCAGTAGTTCGTATGCCTCCGCCATGGCAGGACGGCCAAGCACATCGGTGTGTTTCATTTCATTTATCCGTACTTAGCCGTATCAAAATACAACGTAGGGATCCCACCCGTGCGCGATCAGTTTCAGAGATGTGGAGATAACTTTAGGAAAATAGACATTTTAAAGAACTTCCAAGTTCCTCAAAGAAGTTAGACTAGAGAGCTATAGGGAATTTCAGAGATATGAACAGCACTTTCAATAGCTTCATAACTTCATGAAATTCAAGAAATTCCAGACTTTCAGGGAAATTCGAAGATTTGGGTAAAATTCGATAAATTCCGCTCATTTCCATAAGCTTCAAAAAAACTTCGAGAATTTTTTTTGACAGTTCTATTTAGTTCAAGGTAATGCCAAGAACTTCACAAGAATTTAGAGTATTTCAGTAATGGAAAAAAAAATAAACAAATAAATAAACAAATAAATAATTAAATAAATAAGCAAATAAATAAATAAATAAATAAATTAATATATAAATAAAAAAATTAAAAAAAAATAAAAATTAAAGAACAATTATATATAAAAATTTATAAATAAATAAGTAAAAAATAAATAATTATATCGATGATAACATAAAAAATTAAAATAAATAAATTAATAAACAATTATATAAATGAATAAAAATATTTAAAAAATAAATTAATAAATTGATAAAAATATAAAAAAAAAATAAATAAAAAATTAGTAAATAAATAAATTAATAAATAAACATATAAATAACAAAGCATTTAAAAAATAAAGAAATAAAAAAAAATAAATAAAATATAAATAAATAAATAAATGAAAAAGTAAATAAAAAAAAAAATATATAAATAAAAAGGATACATAAATATATAAACAATAATATAAATGAATAAAAAAAAAATAATAATAATAATTTGTAAAAAAATAAATAAAAGAATAAATTATTAACTAAATAAATCAATAAATAAATT